GAGCTCCACCGAATGCCCCAATGACAACGTCTGCATGCGCACTCGGGTAAATTTCGGCACACCCCTCACACGTTTCGATGCCCCTCCCAACGAATGCATGTGCACCGAGCGGTTCTGTTGATTATGCCCGCGAATGTAAGGCTGTTTCGGCGTGACGCCAGGGTAGGTGTTTAGGGATGGCGGTTGCAACGTGCATGTCCATTTGGTATGCAGCGCCCTCTCGTCCAAGCTGGCGGCTGTCATTCTGCAAGGCAGGTGCGTGACATGCGTGATCTAGCTACCAACGGGGCGGCTGATTTGGCAAGCCAGGCGGAGAAGCGGAAGGACGGGACCAAGACATTGGCGAAGCAGAAACTCTTGATGGGTTGGATCAAGGAAACCCGTTTTGTGTTCACTTGTTGTAGCGTTGTGCTGGGGGAGGAGAGAGGGCCATATTACATGATGCAGACATCAGTGCCGTTGCCCCGAATGAGCATGTACATGCTCGTTGCAAGGTGGTAAATGGACAAGGCATGTTTTCGTGCGCATGTGACAACTCACGGAGGAGGAGGAGGAGGAGGAGGAAACCGTGCGCTGCTCAAACATCTGCAGGACCCCGATATGAAAAACGCTTTCTGGAACGTGGTCACGTCCGTCGGCCTGACGGAGGGCGCGAAGCAGACCTCCAAGTGGCAGCCGAAGAAGTTCTTCATCGACAAGTACGGCGCGGAGGAGGCCGAGGATATGATGGAGAACGGCACGCTCATGGTGAGATCGCATTCGGGAATGCACGTCGGATTGTCGTGGGATGCCGATGCATCGGAGTTTACCAGCCTGGAACATATCCCTATCCCTATGTTCGGCATCGCCTCATCACGATAGCGACCTTAGGGATCCCCTCAGTTTCTGAGGGTGCATCCCTAAGATTGTCATCGTCGTTTGGTGTGTCAATCTCAGGGGTAGGGATAAGTTCGAGGCTGGTGGGGAGTGGCCGAAACGCCAGGGTGGTCGAACTGTTGAGATGGCGCCTTCCTCCCAATCCGTCCGCTCCCCCCGCTCCCCGCTCTATCACCTTCCCTGCACCCCCCCCCCCCCCCCCCCCCCCCCCCCCCCCATCCTCAATCCACCACCCTGTCCTCCCCGCCCTCCCCCAGCCACGTCGAAACGGCGCGCAGGATCGTCAATTGTAAACGCGCGTGCATGGTTCATGCGCGAATGCTGCATGCGTTCACTTGCAATGTTCCGTTGAACGCTGGGGATGCGTCGAGCCGTCGTGGTCTGGGGGAGGGGGTGTCTAACAACGATCGGGCGGCGCCCTTCCCAGTCCAAGAAGAACCCGCTGAACCCCAAGCGGAAGCTG